AGTATGTGTGGGTGGGTTGAGACCAGGTGAAATTACGTTATACTGCCTCATTCCTTCCTATTTAGACACTTCTGATTCCACTTAACGTGAAGAAATTCTTCTATAAGAGCTTCCACTCTACCCCCCTCCATCCAGAAATCCAGTAGGACTGAAAAAGCCTAAAAACACATCAGCCGTAGCTCTACACGGTATAATTTCAGGCCATAAGTTCGATTTTGACAGTATTGAAATTATTCAGAAAGGCTTTAGAAATTGGAAAGAACATCTCATAGCAAAATCTCTTCACGTTAGGTGGAATCAGAATTGTCTAAACAGGAAGGAATGAGGCAGTGTAACGTAGTTTCACCTGGTCTCAACCCATCCACACATACTGACATAACCAACATCAACAAACCTCAATCTGTAATTCAAACACAACATGCTAGATATGGATATAATCTTTATTCTACAATTCTGATGACGCAGAATCATTCATACAGGAGAACACTTGTCAGGTTTACTCTAGCTTTGATAAAGCTGTTAACAGCACTAAATAACGAAAAGTCAGTCGAAACAAATATATTTAGTTCTACATTGTGATTGGAAAATACAAATTATTATTATTATTTATCCCTTGGGTTCCTAATGGAACATAGGGCTTCACTAACATGTCTCCAGTGCACTCTGTTCTCTGCAGACTTTTGAAGCTGGTTCCATGACAGCCCACAAGCTATCATTTCTTTCTCGCACGATCTCCTCCATGTCACCGTTGGACGCCCAACTCGTCGCTTCCTATCTGGTTTCACTCAAGGGCCTGGCGCGCGATGTCCCCAGTCGTCCTCATTATTTGCCCAATCCATCTCCACTTCCTTCTGCATATTTGTTGAGCGATAGGTTCTTGGTTGGTTCGTTGCCAGCCAGCCAGAGTTCCTTGTTGCTTATTCTTATTACTCTGGCCATCTGATCTTCAGTAACGAGCGTAGGCACTTGTTGATGAATGTCTTAGTTTGTTGGAGATGCTTTTCGTAACCTGCCAAGTTTCTGAACCATATAGAAGCACTGACTTACTTGACATGTGTTGAAAATCCGAATCTTGTTCACGCTTTATGCTGAGTGAGTGGACAGTAGATCTCCACACTGGTTTCAGGTAATGAACGCCTGTCTGCTGTATTTCTGATCCTGTCTTTGACGTCCTTGTCTGTGCCGCCTGTAGTTGAAACAGTGCTGCCTAGATAGGTGTAGATGAAAGAGGCTACTTCCGTTAAATTCCTCCCGTTGATGGTGATTGCAGCTTGTTGTTGTTGTTGGTTGGATATCTTCATCACCTCTGTCTTCTCTACGTCCACTTGAAGTCCCGTCTTTTTTCGCTGTCCTGCCTCTTTTGTCAACTTGTTAGTTCTCACCTGTAGATCTTCAAGTTTGTGTGTCATTAGACATAAGTCATCGGCGAAATCCAAATCGTCTAGGTTCTTTTCCTCGACCCAGCGTATGCCCCTCTTCTCGCTCCTCACTGTTCGTTGCATGATCCCGCCTAGCTCACTACAATCAGGAATATCATTAGCAAGAAATGCAAATACCAAAATAATATATATCCGCTACTATTGGTGATATAGGCAATCCGGTTGCTACCCCTTCTTTTTGTTGGTACAACTTCCCAGCGAATGTGAAGAACGTCTTTGTTAAGTAGAGTTCTACTCCATTTATTGTGTCTTCTATCGGGAGCTATGTTCTTTTCTCTTAGATCTTCGTCATTTCTAGTTTCCATTTTAAGACACTCATAACCATTTCTATTAGTATTTTTGTGTAAAGGTTATTGATATTAAAACTAACTAATATTTCTTCATCATCTATTCTAGTGTGTCTAAGTCGTTTCACTAAATTGAATGAGTCTGCTAACCTCGTTTGTGAATCGTTTCTCATTGGTTCTAATATATGAGTAAGGAAACTTGATAGCATATATATATATATATATATATATATATATATATATATATATATATATATATATTCCTTAAGTCTACTATCGGTCTAATTGAGTAACCTATCATTGTGTGTAAACTTTGCATTAAAAACTTACTTATAAATTATGTAATATATTTGCTTTATTCTGAACTATAATTTTGTTTACAGCCCAGAATTCTCAGCAGTTTACTCGTTTTACAACATTTTTCAAATATATATTAACAGTGGTACTAGATAACAATGTAAAGGATAGTAGAATTTTTGAAATGCTGAATGACTTCAGGGACATGATACTTGCTGTCTTTTAGAAAGTTGATTGATAAGATTATGTCTAACATGATCTTCTTCACACAATACATAAGCTAAATAAGGTTGGTATGATTGAATTTTTGTATGTAGTTGTGCGTGCATTGAGTTCAATATATTTGCTTCTTACCTCCTCAGAGGATAGACGTGTGGATATAGAGATACTTGTCATTAGATAAAATATTTTTATACTGAGTAGTGATTAAAATGAGATGAAAATCACCGGGCCGGTAACCCTGTGGTCGCTGGTTCGAATCCGACCGCGGTCCAGATTTTCATCTCACCTTCAATTATCATCCAGTATAAATACTAGTCTGCCAAACCACGGCTATCTCAGATAGTCAAATGATAACCAGCTATCTACGATAATTCAGATGCCTATCCATAACCGCATTTGTCAGTACGGTTAGCGATGTACCACTTGCTCCACTAACAGCCTTCAAAATCCTATGCAATTCAGCGAAGTCTTTTTTGGAGTCCAGGAAAGAATAGGGGGGAACATTAAGTATGTATAGGCAAAACACAAGAATTAACAAGACTTAAGATTAGACGCTGAATTATGCCAGACAGTCTGAGTTTCTCATGTAGACGGAGGATTTTCCTTGAAATATGAAGTGGGGGGGGGACCAAGAAAGATCAGAAGAGAAGCATAAACTAAGATAGGTCATGCTTGTTACATTCTTTACAACAGACCCATTTATAAACAAGGGTCATGGGACTGGAGCAATTCAGTTTAATCTTCCGCTACCTGTAGGCCAGTTTACTATTAGTTCTCCATTCATTCGTCTTCAGTTCCGTTATTCTAATGTTATCGTAATTTCAGGCCGATTATTTATTTTCAGGTATGCAAATGTTTGTATAACTTGGGGCTAAAATTGTTTTAAACAGTTGATGAGGAACCGCGAAATATAATATCTGTGCTATTCTGCGAAAAATATTGTTCTAACTCTATTCAAAATTATTTTTCATTATGATTTTCTGTAGCAATTTGTACAAGCTTCCTTTTTCTATCCATGAATTATCGCCCAAATGTTTATCGTTGAGAAACGAAAGAGAGAGAGAGAGTATACCGTTTATTTCATAGCCCAAATGACATTATTGACTGACTGACTAAATCAGTGTAGAACTTCGCACACAGGCGTATCTGCTCAAGTTGCCACACTTCAGAGTTGTACACAAGAAACAGGTGGGTAAAAAGGGACTGATATCAAAGTAGACAACGGCGCATGAGGGAATAAACGATCTGAGGATAAAGGATAGTGCAAAGATTGAAGCTTTAGAAGATGTCTAGGAGTGAATACATCTGCCCCATTGTCACCGATTTTCAGTCACTTCACCAAGAGTAATCAACCACTGATTCCTTTCAGCTCGGCGACCTCAGCTGGGCAGTCTCCATCTACCTACACGACCCAGACCAACAGTAAGAGACTTAGTCGACTGGTATTGGTTGTTGATCTCACCATCTTGCACCCTCTTCCAATCGATCCAGCTTCCCCGAGCATGGCACATCGAGATAGGTGGTGACTCGCATGCTGAGTACGTGTCCAAGGTATCGTAGTCGACTAAGGTTTACAACTTCATCAGTCAACTTGCCCATTGTACGTAGTACCCTTCGTCTGACCGCAACATTGCTCACACGGTGATTCTACCAACTACGATAATCCATGAACACATCTTTGTATGTCTGTAATCTACTTGTTGATGAAGACTTGTTATTCTCATAAGGTTTGAATCAAAGGGAAGTAAAGTCTCATTCCTTGTTCGTTTCAGTCAGTAGTTATTCATCAATATGGGAACCACAATCAAATGCAGGTGGTATTCATAAGTGAAGCGTAAGTTATGCCGCTGGCAAGCTTGAAGTTTCATAGAGTACATAACAGCAAAGAAGTCTCTTTACTGAACGAAGTAAACCAAGAGAAACTATAGAAGTTTAGGAAAAAGAATCTAAGCCATGTTGTTAGAGGTCATAGAAACTGAAATTGCTACTGTGACCGAATCAGGCCAATTGTTATGGACTGATCGCTACTCATCATGGAGTGACATCAGTTGGAGGAACATTGGGAACTTGGGAGCGCTGGATAACTATCTCATCCTGGGAGTGCCCCCCCATGACCCCACCAGGGACCGAGCCAAGTACCTTTAGGTCCGCGACCAGCACGTTACCATTGAACCACTGATGTCTCACTCCAAGAGCTGATTCCTGAAGTTTTAATGAGAACTAGAGACCACTGAGGCCAGCCAAGTCAAACGTAAGGACAGATACTAGATGATGGCATTGCTTCTAGGTTGCGCTACATCGTGAACTGACAGAAGTATGAAATATGGAGAGTAGGAATCCGACCCAGTGACTCAGTGAAAGCGCGCTGCCGGCGGAACCTGAAGGTTTTTTGTTCATCCCTTGAGTGGTCATAGGTGCGTACTTCTGAGGAGTGGCATACTAGGACGAAATAACTGTCCAATACTCTTAGGTATTCAATGTTTCTCCAACTGATGTCACTTCATGATGAATACCAGTCTGAAATCAACATGTCAATCCCCACTAACCTCCAAAGTGAATTCATTGGTATTTCCCTCCTAACCATGGAAATAAGTGAGTAACTGAATATTGACATCCCCATAATGAGGATTATGTATGACCATTTCTTAGTAATTTTTAAATATGATTAATAAGTCATCTAGCCGATTTATAACTTTCCAAATACACATGTGAAGTTATTCCTAATATCACTACCACTTTTATATTTTCATTTCAGGTTGGCAGAAATCCATTTCTTTCAATGGTTGGAAATAGTTTATGCTCAGATTTATGCTTAATTTTGGATGATGGTGATTTGATTCCTGCTCATAAGTTTGTATTTGCTGCTTGGAGTCTAAATGTCAGTTACTTAGAGGTATGCTAAAGCTGAATTTTTATAAACGTCTTTCGTACTACTAATATGTAGTATAATGTTTATGGATAGTTTTAGTCAACCCTGGTTTCTTGCATAATCTGCATGGCGTAACTGACTTCATTCTTTTGAATCCAAACATATTTAATGCAAATCGGAGCATGATTGTTTGTTGAAGTCGTATGACCAAGACTATGGATAGTTTCGAATGCATCATCACAAAATATTTTTCCTTATGTGTCCAACTAACTTCGCCTGGTTAACTAGTTACTAGCCGGTCCTAAGCCCGGGTAAAGAGGGAAGGTTGGTCATAGGGCTAGCAACTCTACCCTAGAAAACCAACCCAGTCGCTAAAGAAACTTCAAAGCACAAAGAAACTATGAAAAACAAACGTATTCCTCGCTGGCATCGGAGAGACGAAATGACGCTGGTTGGTGAGGGCCTTCAGGAAGACAATTGGCCGATGTATCTCTCCTTTTTCGATGAAAGCGAAAGTAAGCATGTGGACATGGAATGTCAGAACAAAGTTTGAACCTGACAAAACTGCCTAGATTGCAAAAGAGATTAGGAGGTATGGCATGGAAGTGCTTGGAATCTGCGAAAGCAAGTGGAATGGAAGTGGACTCTCCAAACTCTTAACTGCAAAGTCAATAATCCACTCCGATATTCTCACCCAGACGCCAACCACGAGCATACTGAGTTTTCGAAAGGATATCATGATGTCTCGAAGATCAAAGGCTCTCATGCAGGGGGAACCAGTCTCCTCCAGGATCACGACAGCAAGATTAAACCCAAAAGGAAGGAAAGTCACAATCATACAATGCTACGTACCTACACTACAAATAATGCAGATGAAGAGAAGAAGGAGAAATTCTACAGACAACTGCAATCAGTACTGGACAAGACCCCACCCCAGTTGGCAACATCAAAATTCATTTTAATGGGTGGGGTGACATGAATGCCAAACTGGGAGCGGACAACGCAGGAAGAGAACTCATCATCGGTTGAGAAGCACTCGGTGAAATGATGAATGAGAATGGAGAACTGTTTCCAGATTTCTCCGCACTCAACGATTTGGTGATTGGAGTCAGTAGTGTGTACAAACACAAGAATATTCACAAGACAGCGATATAGATTTTACCAGATACCAGGACACGGTAAAAATGAGATCGACTTCATTTCAATGGTAAGAAAGAGGACACAGCCTACTAGACACAAGAAAAGATCAACGAGGGGGAGCAGATGTAGGCTCACACCACTCACTATATAGTGCAAGGAACCTTCAAAATCAAGTTAAAAGCCTTCAAGGAAGTTGGTGATAAACCAAAGTTCAGGTTAAATACCCACAACAGAAACTCAATTCAAGGACTAAACTACAAATGACATCCTCACATCAGCCATCAGGACAAAATGCGAGACATTAGGAAGCATCTCTGAAGAAACCTGCGTAGATGACCACCGGAACTCTTTGAAAGAGACTTGGAAGAAAAGCTACATAACCGTGTTAGGAAGGAAGAAAAGCGGCAACACAAGGAATGGATCTCGATGGACACATGGAAGCTGACAGAGCAGGGAGAAGAAATGGTGCGGCAGAAGACGAACAAGTACAGTGCAGTGCAGTGCAGTGCAGTGCAAAGATGAACAACTAAAAGAGGAACTGAACACAACCTATAAAACTGTACACTGAATAAAGAAGTGAAGAAGAGTGCACACAAAGACAAAAGACACTTCTACGACACACCGGCAAGTGGAGCAGAAGAGGGTGCAGGTTGGAGAGACCTGACAACAATATATCAAAGAACCAGATTGCTATCTGGGGGGTAAGAGATCAACACAGATGAAACCAATGAAAGATATGAAGGAAAGCTAGTTAGCGAAGAGGCGAAACGAAGGAAACGATGAGCTGACCTCTTCGAAAAAACTCTTGAGTCGATCATCACCATCACCACCACACCACCACCTGCAACTGGTCAGGAAATATCATCAGCAGTGCAGCCAGAGAACTAGCAGTGAACCCAAGCCCTCCGACAAAAGCAGAAGTGAAGTGCTGAAGGCCATAAATTTGCTTAAATCCGGGAAGGCCGGAGGACCAGATGGAATTCCTACAGAAGCACTGAGAACAGACGCAGAGACAACAGTGGACACGCTCACACCACTATTACAGAAGGTTTGGAAGGAAGGAAGGTTGGAAGGAAAGGTACCTGTCAGTTGGTTGAAAGGAGGGCTACCTTATCAGTGGAGTCCAAGGAAGGGCGACCTATGTCTTTGTGAGGACTGGGTTGGAATCATGCTCCTATCCACCCAAAGAAAGCAAAATATTAAGCCACATCATCGTGGAGAGAGTAAGTAAAATGTGCTGGGTTAAAAATTACTACCGAAACAGTCTGGCTGGCTGGATTCAGGAAGTACAAATCATGTGTGGATCAAATTGCAACGCTACGCTATGCATCATTATAAAACAGAGCATACAATGTCAGTCAATTCTTTACCTCAACTCCATCTATTTTGTAAAGGCCTTCGATGGCGTTGACGGAGAAGTAATTTGGCAACTGCTTCAACACTGAGGTTTTAGTGCCACAAACCTTTGTCAACTTCACTCAACAGTTATATGTAATGTGAGGATGGTACATGCCAGGTGATTGACAATGGGAAGCTCAGTGATGCCTTTGAAGTGAAGGTAGGGTACAGGAGTAAGACAGGGTTGCCGCCTACTATCAGCGATGATCTTCCTGATTGTGGTTGACTGGACTGGATCATGCAAGAAACTGTGAGGAGCGAGAAGATGGGCATGTGCTGACTGGAGCGATGAAAAGACCCCAGGAGAAGACTTGGATTTCGTCGATGATGATTTATTTCTAATGTCTTGTCACACAAACTCGAGGATGTACATGTGAAAACTAACAAAATGACAGAGTAGACAGGGCAGCGAAGGAAGACGGGACTTCAGGTGAACGTAGAGAAGACAGAGGTGATGAAGATGCCTAACCAACAAGAACAAGAACAACAACAACAACGAGCACCAATGACCATGAACGGGAGAAATGTGAAGGAAGTAGTCTCTTCACCTACCTGGTCGCAGGTGGCATCGTTTCAACTACAGACGGCACAGGTACAGATGAGGACGTCAAAGCCAGGATCGGAAAGACAACAAGACAGGCCTTCCTGCATTAATCTGACACTAATCAGTGTGGAGATCTGCTGCCCTGCACTCAGCATAAAGCGTGAACCAGATCCATATTTTCTACACTAACGTCAGTCAAGTTAGTGCTTCTGTGTGATGGTTGAGATACTTGGTGCTTTGGGAGAGCGTTTCCAACAAACTAAAGACATTCATCAACAACTGCCTACGCTCACTCAATACTGAAGATCAGATCAGAAGGTTTGAAAGAATACGCGACAAGGAACTCTGACTGGCTGGCAACGAACCAACCAAGAACCTATCGCCCAACAAATATGCAGAGGAAAGTGGAGATAGATTGGAGGGGATATACACTGAGAATAGTGTTTGAGGACGTCACTCGGCAGTCTCTCGAGTGGAGTCGGAATGGGAAACGACGAGTTTGGTGTCCGAGGTGAAGGTGGGTGACATGGAGGAGATGGTGTGAAGAAGAAATGAAATGTTGTGGGCAGTGGTGTAGGCAGGTTGAGAAGACTGCAGAGAAGAGAGTGCAATGGTGACGTGCTACTGAAGCTGTATGTTCCACTAGGAACCCAAGGGACAAATGATAGTAAATGAATTGTTATGGAAGACTGCGAAAATCTGAGAAATGTGGTATGTTTTTATTTACTGTTGCATGCATCCTTCTTGTTCGCGCAGTACTAATGAAGAATCAAGCGCCGACGTCCCAGTAACCGTGGTCTCCAGCCGGATATTGAATGGTGTAATGTGCACTCCCAGTACTCTAGTTGGGTTCAGAGCGCCAATTTACTTTAACAGTTAACGAACGCATGCATTGTAGTGTTTATTAAACCCTTGTAGTATACGTGGATGCATAACATATTTACGAACCATCCAACTCCGGACTTACAATATTACTTTCTCACTTTCTGTTTTACACATAGATATAAATAGGAACTAAGAGGTGTGGGTTTGCGAGGTCACCAATAAGATGATTAGCTATTCATTTTCGTAGTTGTAAGTATAGAGGTTTTAAATCCAATTTTTGATTCCATTGCAACGGTGTAGTGTGAAGTAAACACTGTGGATAACAATAAGTATGACTTGGAATTCATGAAAGGGAATCCATTTTTCACAAGGCTGCGCATGAGAAGAATGAAAATGTGTATCCTTGATCCTATGCTCAATCGAAGTGAAAAAGGTAAATGAATGTGCTGGGTACGAATTTTAAAAATTTGTCGCTAGCAGTTGTGTTTACAACCTAAGAAGCCTAATGATTCTGGGTGGAATGTACTTATTGATGTTATATGTTGTAGGAATACCATCAGCTGTTGTCTCTGAGATGTGAAGGTAGTACGGAGGATTACGGAAATACCGTAACCTGCATTTTCTTCGAATGGATGGCATTTGTTTTGCCCTCCAGTCGCAAATATTGCTGTACCACTGGTGTGAAGAAGTTATCGGTATCGACTCAATCAGCGTTCTGAACCCAACTATCAGTACCGACGAGTGCATATTACGCCATTATATATCCGGCTGGTGTCCACGATCACTGGGACGTTAACGCTTGATTCTTCATTATTACTGTGCAAACAAGAAAGATGCATGCAACTGTACATAAAAACATACCACATTCCTCAGATTTTCGCAGTCTTCCGTAACAATACAGAGAGCTATTTGCAACTTTGGCTTGCAGTGAAAAGTGGCAACTTGGCAAGAAACAACATTTAAAACATGAAAACCTGTTGTAAAGTATTGCATAGTAATATTTTAATTACATTTGGAGTAAACATCTTTCAGCATCAAAAATACCCACTGAAGAACAACAAATAATCGTAAAATTGTAACAATGATACAACCACAAGATGAAAGGCAACAAAACCGAGAAATGGACATAGATGAGAGACTTTATCGAATCAATACGGGTGAATCAACGCTGCACACCTAACATGATAGATGGGCATCACATCTGCGAAAGGCATAAATATGCCCGAAAATAGAAAAGATTGAAATAAAGTTGGATGAGAATGCAACACGGTGAACTTATGCGTAACGAATAGCCTTTTCAAGGTCTCAGATCGACCAATCACAGTTGTTTTCGAAATCGAAGGCACAAATTCAAATGTGATTAGTTAGTTTATTTGCCCTCTTATTTCAATATATCTTTTCAAAGTTTCGTTTTATTAATATTCTTATTATCCTAACTGTTTCATATTTCCACCATTTTGTGATAACTTATCCACTCTATATGTGCCTTTCTTTCTCTTCCCCATGCTGTATATATTCCCCATGTCTGATCATCAATAAGTTGATGGGTTTACACTCAACTTATCAGCGCAGTTGACATACATATTTAAACTATACTATCGTTCATTAGCTTAAACACTCTAATTTCAGTTAAAATTTCATATCCATTCTAAGATGTATCCGCCGCAAATTTCGCTATTAATAGGTTGATGAATTTGATTTTTTAACTATAGAATCTAACGAAAACTTATTCATATTTGACTATGAATATTTTGAGACTTCTCATAATTTATGCAAGATATCATGATAATGTGCCACTGACCTTAGCAAATGTACTTCTTATTCGATATAAATCACTCTGACCTAATCAACGTAGAACCTCGCAAGTTGGTCGATTAACTCAAGTTGCCACACTTCAGAGTTGTACACAAAGAAAGGGACTGATATCAAGTAGACAACGGCGCGTGAGAGAATAAACGATCTGAGGATAAAGGATAGTGCAAAGATTGGAGCTTTAGAAGATGTCTAGGAGTGAATACATCTGCCCCATTGTCACCGATTTTCAGTCACTTCACCAAGAGTAATCAACCACTATTCCTTTCAGCTCGGCGACCTCAGCTGGGCAGTCTCCATCTACCTACACGACCCATACCAACAGTAAGAGACTTATCGACTGGTATTGGTTGTTGATCTCACCACCTTGCACCCTCTTCCTGCCTAATCCAGCTTTCCCTAGCATGGCACATCGAGATAGGTGGTGACTCGGCATGCTCAGTACGTGTCCAAGGTATCGTAGTCGACTAAGGTTTACAACTTCATCAGTCAACTTGCCCATTTTCTATAGTATCCTTCGTGGTGATTCTACCAACTACAAGCACCTATTATCAAGATCGTGTAACCGCTTCGTCTCTTTTACTTTCAACCGCAGTATAACAGGATAGAAAGAACTACAGTCCGGTATACACATCCTTTGATCGGTACTCGAATATCTTACCAGTCTGCACCGCAGATGACTCGAGTTCTCAAATCCCAAACAGGCTTTCTGTATCCGAGCTGACACTTCGTCAGCAACCAGCCCGTTCGGGTTAATGCAACTCCTCAAGTAAGTGAAACGGTCGACACATTCTACCACTTCACTCCTTATCATTATTTGATTATTTCGCGGCCAAAAGCCTATCAACTAGTTCATATCAATAAGAGTTATGCGTTCTCACCCAAATCACATGTATGTATGTATAAAGTGTATCATTATTCATGTTGTTATATTATTGTATTTTCACTGACTTTTTCTCTTCTGTAGTCTGATATCCTACAAATCCATAATGTTACAAAAGATGAACTTATCTCTCTACTAGAAATACTATACAATGGAGATAAATCTAATATCACTGAAGAGTATCTTGGTAAATCTTCAGTAGCAATGCAAACTCTTATCAATGAGTATGTTCCCTTTTTTGTTAAAACTATTGGGTTATATGGAAACAGGGAATGTTTTGAACGCGTTTATTACTCCACTGACATAATATTTAAATCATGGAACTGTTTTATATTGTTATGTAGACAGACAAATGCATAAAATCAACTTAGAATCTTGCACAGAACTTGATCTCTTCAAGCTGCCACATTTCACATCAGCATACAATGAACAAGTAGCTGCAGAAAGAGTGATTTTAAAGAAGACAAAAGTGTATTGGAGGTGGGATAGAGTTTTAAAATCAAAGTTAGTGAAAATGTTTAAGTTTTAGGAAATGTCAATGAGTGAATACATCTTCGCCATTGTGATTTCGCAAAGAGTCCTGAACCACTGATCACCATGATCCTGGGAACCTAAACAGACAGCCTACATCTCATTAAACGGCTCAAATGAATAGTTAAAGACCTCATGATTCCCTTGTCTTATTCTGGTCACCATCTTTATCGAAATTCGATTAACATTGACGTTGAGGCAGGTGGTGACTGGGTATATGTAACACATGTCCTAGATACCTCAGTCGATGATGGTTCACAACTTGACTTTGACATCACTCATATGATGATTCAACCATACATGAGCAGTGCTGTGAAGGCACTCGTGTTCGGAAACCTCTAGTCTTTTCATATCTCCTACCTTCAGCGCCCATGTCTCACAAGTGTATGACTAAACGGAAGGGAGCATAATACATTATACTCGTCGTTTATTAGGTATTTGCATATCTTGCCAACTGGTACCCGACATAACGCAAGTTGGAAAATGTCGAACAGGATAAATGTATCCAAGCTGATATTTCGTCAGCAACTAGTCCTCTCAGGCTCATTTAACTTCCCAATCCCTATTCTTAGACTGGGATTAGGTGCAAACCAGTCCTGGAACATCATCTCACATTCGACAGGTACGAAACGTAAGCGAAACATACTCAAGTATCTGCTCAGAACTTTAGGAAGACCCTGCACTTTGTCAAAGTACATCTTTATGTCAGCCATCTTGAAAAATGGGAGACATTAAGAAGCATCCCTGAAGAAACCTGCGTAGAAGAGACTTCGAAGGAAACCTACATAACCGTGTTAGGAAGGAAGAAAAGCGGCAAGACAAGGAATGGATCTCACGGACACATGGAAGCTGACAGAGCAGGGAGAAGAAAATGGTGCGGCAGAAGACGAACAAGTACAGTGCAGTGCAGTGCAGTGCAAAGATGAACAACTAAAAGAGGAACTGAACACAACCTATAAAACTGTACACTGAATAAAGAAGTGAAGAAGAGTGCACACAAAGACAAAAGACACTTCTACGACACACCGGCAAGTGGAGCAGAAGAGGGTGCAGGTTGGAGAGACCTGACAACAATATATCAAAGAACCAGATTGCTATCTGGGAGGTAAGAGATCAACACAGATGAAACCAATGAAAGATATGAAGGAAAGCCAGTTAGCGAAGAGGCGAAACAAAGGAAACGATGAGCTGACCTCTTCGAAAAAACTCTTGAGTCGATCATCACCATCACCACCACGACCACCACCTGCAACTGGTCAGGAAATATCATCAGCAGTGCAGCCAGAGAACTAGCAGTGAACCCAAGCCCTCCGACAAAAGCAGAAGTGAAGTGCTGAAGGCCATAAATTTGCTTAAATCCGGGAAGGCCGGAGGACCAGATGGAATCCCTACAGAAGCACTGAGAACAGACGCAGAGACAACAGTGGACACGCTCACACCACTATTACAGAAGGTTTGGAAGGAAGGAAGGTTGGAAGGAAAGGTACCTGTCAGTTGGTTGAAAGGAGGGCTACCTTATCAGTGGACTCCCAAGGAAGGGCGACCTATGTCTTTGTGAGGACTGGGTTGGAATCATGCTCCTATCCACCCAAAGAAAGCAAAATATTAAGCCACATCATCGTGGAGAGAGTAAGTAAAATGTGCTGGGTTAAAAATTACTACCGAAACAGTTTGGCTGGCTGGATTCAGGAAGTACAAATCATGTGTGGATCAAATTGCGACGCTACGCTATGCATCATTATAAAACAGAGCATACAATGTCAGTCAATTCTTTACCTCAACTCCATCTATTTTGTAAAGGCCTTCGATGGCGTTGACGGAGAAGTAATTTGGCAACTGCTTCAACACTGAGGTTTTAGTGCCACAAACCTTTGTCAACTTCACTCAACAGTTATATGTAATGTGAGGATGGTACATGCCAGGTGATTGACAATGGGAAGCTCAGTGATGCCTTTGAAGTGAAGGTAGGGTACAGAAGTAAGACGAGCTTGCCGCCTACTATCAGCGATGATCTTCCTGATTGTGGTTGACTGGACTGGACTGGACTGGATCATGCGAGAAACTGTGAGGAGCGAGGAGATGGGCATGTGCTGACTGGAGCGATGAAAAGACCCCAGGAGAAGACTTGGATTTCGTCGATGATGATTTATTTCTAATGTCTTGTCACACAAACTCGAGGATGTACATGTGAAAACTAACAAAATGACAGAATAGACAGGGCAGCGAAGGAAGACGGGACTTCAGGTGAACGTAGAGAAGACAGAGGTGATGAAGATGCCTAACCAACAAGAACAAGAACAACAACAACAACGAGCACCAATGACCATGAACGGGAGAAATGTGAAGGAAGTAGTCTCCTTCACCTACCTGGGCGCAGGCGGCATCGTTTCAACTACAGACTGCACAGGTACAGATGAGGACGTCAAAGCCAGGATCGGAAAGACAACAAGACAGGCCTTCCTGCATTAATCTGACACTAATCAGTGTGGAGATCTGCTGCCCTGCACTCAGCATAAAGCGTGAACCAGATCCATATTTTCTACACTAACGTCAGTCAAGTTAGTGCTTCTGTGTGATGGTTGAGATACTTGGTGCGTTGGGAGGAGCGTTTCCAACAAACTAAAGACATTCATCAACAACTGCCTACACTCACTCGATACTGAAGATCAGATCAGAAGGTTTGAAAGAATACGCGACAAGGAACTCTGACTGGCTGGCAACGAACCAACCAAGAACCTATCGCCCAACAAATATGCAGAGGAAAGTGGAGATGGATTGGAGGGGATATACACTGAGAATAGTGTTTGAGGACGTCACTCGGCAGTCTCTCGAGTGGAGTCGGAATGGGAAACGACGAGTTTGGTGTCCGAGGTGAAGGTGGGTGACATGGAGGAGATGGTGTGAAGAAGAAATGAAAGTTTGTGGGTAGTGGTGTAGGCAGGTTGAGAAGACTGCAGAGAAGAGAGTGCAATGGTGACGTGCTACTGAATCTGTATGTTCCACTGGGAACCTCAGGGACAAAGATAATAAAATGGTAACAATTCAGTTTGTCGGTTTTTCACCTAATAGTACCATACAGTCACAAATTTCTGATTCAGTGAGGTGACCTCTGGAGATTAGATAATTCCGTGTGAATTCATATGTAACTATGGTTATGTCAATTGATACTTTTATAGGTGGGTAATATTGACTGCCTCTTCCTCATCGGACATAACTGTTTATCTTCATTTCGGATGAAAGCTCTCTGTAAGGCATTATTTTGCTGCTGAAGTTTATATAAGCAACTTTGATACTTTCTCTGTCATTGCCTGACAGTTATACGTAAGATTTCTGTTCGACGTAGACGAATATTGGCTTCACGTCGAGAAGTATTTCAAGTGTCGGCGGCCGGTACATATATTGATGTAGCTGAAAATATAGTGATTTCTCTGAAAGCATGAATTTTATTGCTAAAATGAGGGGTAAAATGATGTTCACTTACCGATCGTAATCACTAAATGAGTGTGAATATCTTATATTCCTTATACTCACAGTACAAGTTGCTTATGAATGTGAACGGTTTATGTTGTTTAAGTTGATAAATCCTATCTAAACTATTCATGATAGTAATAATGTCTTTTTTCCAAGTGATATTAATAGTAGTATACTATGTTAAAGGCAATAATGTTTAACAGTCAGCTGATATTAGATTAACTTCCAATGTAGAATTGAGGTTGGTTGTGATAGTTTATCCAGTTCATACAAGAATTTCCCACTGGAGCTAAACGTCTGAGGAGTAGAGATATGATAAACGTTTTGCACAATGAAAAGTTCATTTCCATCGAACTTGACATTTTTACTGTCTTTTTTCTGTTATCTACTTGGAAACATTTTAAAACTTTGTAAAACTGTACGTGGTACGTTTAAAAGACATAGTTCAATATTTCAAGTTGTTATTCGTCGTTGACTGACATCAGTTGGAGGGACAACGGAAACCTGGGAGCGTTGGACAGCTGTTTCATCCTAGCATGGGACCCACCAGGGACTGAACCCACAACCTTCAGGTTCCGTGGCCAGCACGTTACCATTGAGCCCACTGGGTCAGGATTCAGTGGTCCATATTTCCAACTTCTGTTAGCTCACGATATAACGCAACCGCCATCCAATGTCATCGTTGAGTAACTGTCCTCACAACCATCAGGTTTTGCCCCGACCAGTCACGACTTCTCATTGGAACTTCGGGAATACCTCTTGAAGCTAGTCAGTCACCAATGAACAACAGTTCATTTGAATTTTCAGGGAGTTTTGGGGATTTCAATGATTAAAAAAAATTGAAAGCAAAGAATCTGATGTATATGTTTCGGTGGAAAATTTTGGGTAACCCTAAGGTTCATTAGCACTTGATAAAAGATTATAAAAAGTTAAAGAAACTCTTTCAGGTGTAAAAAAAAGTTGTCTCAAACTGACTATTGTCCATCATAACCAAAATTGTCACGCAATAGTCTATTGTATAGATCTTAATAATAATAATTTTATTCTGAGAACTATTTCAGAATACTCTACAGAATTTTCAGCATGCCTTTTATAGCATCAATTGGATAACGACAGTGTACATGTATACATACTAGAATGAAATAAGTATAAACTATGTGGAAAAAGATAAGAATATTCGCTCTGTTTACAACTTTTTTTTTGAAAATGTACAGTTAATTTAGATCGATAACTATATTAGCAATTAAATTTATAATACGTAAATAGTAACATCCTGCGTACTCATCAGTTAGTTTGCTTTCAACAGCAGAAGTTAATTAGTCAGTTCATCGCACAGCAGATGAGCTAAATTATCTACTGTAGTGTAGAGTTTTTATATTTTTTTTAGTATATGCATATATAGTCTTATGTACTTGCTCCTTGTTTTTCTAGATTACCGATATGCAGAGAGTTTTGAGTGAAGAAGATACTTGTCATGTGATTAAATAACTTCTATCAGATGTTTACATGAGTTAATATGTTTGTCCATAACAGTTTTAACTAGAAGGTTAAGAGGTACACCATTAGTTCTGCTGACAATCTTCGAAGTTCTATGCAATATAGCATAGTCATTTTTTAGCAACCCAGGAAAGAATAAAGAGAACAGACAAGATGCATGAGTTTATAAAACATAAGAGGAAAGGCTGAGTTATATCAGATACTCTCAGCCTCTTTATATATAAAGTTAGATTGATGAGTGTCGGATTCGAGCTGAAGATTGGAATGAATGCATTAGGAGGTGAACACAATCAACAGAGATGAGTTTTAAAATGTGGTAAAATACGTGAACTGGATTCCAATACTAACTACCAAGAAAAATAATCTACAAGATATTCAGTACAATTGGAATTCACAGTAGATATGATGCATAACAGTGAACACAGGTGGTTTTAGACCCTCGGAATTAGTTTTACTCATAGCTTTCCCACGTATTATAGTTCTTTCCAGTTAGTATCATTCTCATGAACTTCTTTTCAAGAAATCTGAAACCAAATCGACCATGTGGTTCTTCAGCGAATAAACTAAACACTCAAGTTGCACGTAACATCTTAAACAAAAGATTTTTCTGAAGTACTACGGTACTGTATTGATGGACAGTAATGACTAATGATTTACAAACTCCGAATGGTGTGGCAAACCTGTGTCCAAAGTAAGTCAGAGAAGAATGTGAAAAGTGCGCGGATCCCCCAGGGCGAGATAAAAAGCATAATACAAGCAGATGTTCAAAGGGGCATCGCGGAAATAATCGAAGGAAGTATAACATAATCAAGTTGTTGGAGAATACCAATATCCTAAGATGTGTTAAATGACGAACGAAATATGATTATGACGGAAACGAACAATGGAATGCGCTGTTAGCATAGGATTTCGGAAGAATCTTAATCACACTATTGACTATTAGTAAGTAGTATACATCTGTGTGCAAAATAAAATAGTGCTGTAACATGTGTCTACTTTTTATAACTATTCATTGTTCACATTTTATCTCTGTTATTATTATCTTGTCGTTTATTTCTGAAGCTGGGGTCTTACAAGTTCAAATCGTCGAGTAGATATTATAAAAACTGATGATTCTTGTTTATCACATCCTCCCCGTAAATCACTGGTACGCAATGTAGAAGAGACAAGTTGTGCACCTCCTGTCATTTCAGTACAATCATCATCGTTATCATCTCCACTGTCATCGATTTGGCCAGTGACTACACAGACTAATAGTACATACATTGAAAATTCTACTTACTTTCCATTGACTACAAATAATTTGAACCAACATAATATAAATTCTAGTATATTAAATAAGTCAGATGAAAACACCATTTTTGGTCTTATGGATTCCTCTTCAAAATTACCTATCCCATCAATTGAGGAATCTAAACAAAGAGAAGATGTGCAAGTAACTGTTGCATCATATTCATCTTCATTATTATTACCTTCTATAAGTGTAAAAACCCCTAATATCCAACCGAAATTACACTCCTGTAATCCAGCTCAATTTAGTCGTGATTTATTTATTTCATCTGATGACGAAATCAATGATAATGATGATTTCAACACTAACAGTAACTGTGATCTTAATATTGATATCATAAATCATCATAACTATCAAGAAATTATACAATCTGCTAACAGTAATAATAATGATACTAATGATATATCAATGACGGTCATTGATTTAACTCAGGTGAGCTTATTCTCTTGGTTTTACTAATAAATAAACTATGCATAGGGTTTGTATAAAACTTATAGCATTCTTTGAAAACTATTCATTCATTATTGTAATCTATACAGTAATCGTGTTTAACGGTTAGATCGTCTCAATATTAGCGGAAAAATCTACTGTTAACTTGTGTATAGTGTTCAGATATACCCATATCTCTCTTATTAATATATTTTGTCAATTAATAAGACTTTAGCGTTGTTCTCCATTGAAATATGATTCATATTAGTTTTCAAAACTTATATGCTAACTAATCATCAATCCAAAGATTTTCACCTTAAGTTTATTGGGTTGTAATCAACGCGAAAATGCGCCTACTCCAATCTCCATATCTATCTATGCCAAAATAACTGAATGGAAAATAATAATAATAAGATGAAAATCATATTACAGTGAGTCATTTCAAGCATAATGCTTGATATAAACGTCATCAGAAGTGTGTATTAGAAGTGTAAATCTTCACCTTAATGATTAACTCTTTCTTATAATGCCTCCTAGACTTTTGAAAAGACAGTGCCTAAATATTTACTGACTATGAGCTAGTTTTTTACACCTCATGGATGTGGACATATTTTCCAGGTCGTTACATTATTTTAAGTAATTGTTAGTCGATCTAATTAATGATTGATATGAACAATTCGATTTATTGCTTAAGCCAAGTAGATTTCGCTAGAGAATGCTACCAATTATTGTGAGTTGCTATCAGTTATTCATCGTGTTCCTTAGTACATTTCTCACAATCTGTTTGTTATCTGAAGAAAAGCCTGCTAACTATTTTTTGTGATTGATTCCTTTCACTTGTAATTAATTTCTCTTCAGTTTGTCCCATAGAAAGATGTCTTTATCAGTCTTCATAGTGCAATCCTTAAGCAGATACTTAACGCTGCTGTAGCTAGGATTCACTTAATGGAAACTACGAAGCCTATATATTCTCCCAAACTCCTACAGCACATGAACGACAATATCATACCCCATTGTATCTACCAATTCAAATGTACTCGTGTGGTGACACAAATATGTGAAGGACTCATAGATCCATACAAGTAAGGGCCTCGGAACATATTCCAAAGTGGTTTCAGAAGCAAGTTATATCCCTTGAACCCATAAACGTTAGTAGCAGATGTCCAAGTTCTTCGATCGCCAAACATATCGTTGAGACAGGTTACAGGATTGACGTGGCTACTTCCTTTACACCTATTTACAAAACGTGTTCGGGGCGGATCCCTAAATTTGTTGAGGCCTTAGCTATTAAGAAGTTTAAACCACCTTTGTGTTCATAAACAATTTGTTGTCACATTATATCTTTCTTGGTAAATTCAACTATGAAAACCAAGTTCGATGTACTATGATTTTTGCTCCATAGATTTTCATTGTTATTCGGCCTTTAATTCAGCTTTCCTACTTGACCTCTTTTATTTTCTCACCTCTTATCTTCATGAATTTTCATATAAACAAATACCTATGACAAGTACGTGTGTGACCAGATAGCTCGAAATGTGTTGCGCAAATACATTACACGGTTCGGACAATTTACGTCTTTTTATTGTTTTGTCAAAGTTTATAAAGGGAAGTAATTGTTTTTATTTCTCTTTGTTCACCAATTAAATATCTCTTATTTTTCCGCTCCTCTTTTTATTTTTCATTTAAGCCAGAAACAACAGTTAAGGATTCGCCCATTCTTATCGTAAGTTCTCCTAGTTGTGATGAAACTTTAAAAACTGAAGAATCTCCACTTCTAAACGTTGACTCTTTCACTTCTCCCTGTACTACTTCAAAACATTTGTGTAATTCATGGTTAGAAGATGCAGCAACTGTATCACCTTTGATGAAACGTTTACTTTTATCGAATAATGATGAATCGATCTCAAATTCCTCTTCCTACGTAACTGCTGCTGCTAGCATTAACACTCATGTTTGTAGTAGTATCCATAACAGTCTCAGTTCTATCACACATGTTGGAAAGTCTATTCTGACTGATTCATTACTCGGTTGTTTCAATGCAAACCCATTTGATGATGGAAATATCGAAGTTGATCCAAGTAAAAAACAGAATCAAGTCAGTGACTATTTGATAAACAATACTAACATAGAGTATCGTAAAGAATCATCTACAAGCGATCAATCATTTACACCGGACAAACAATTACAAACTCCTGTGCATGAGTCTTTAAATACAACACCAATTCCTATCACTCCGTTACCTAAATATGAGGAAATGATGACTCCGGAGTTGAAAGTAAGTTGTTGAAGTAATAAGTAATCTGCTTATATATATATATATATATATATATATATATATATATATATATATATATCTTCACAGGGATTTGAAATCGAAACGATCAGTTGATTTTTCGACAGATAAACCAAACGTTGGTTTTATGTGTACAGTCCAAGAAATAGGATTTGTCTGAATTACGTTACCATATTTTTAAACAACGATGATGACTAACAAGTTAGAAACCTTTAATTGTGGGGTGTTTCCGGGCTCACCACCACCTTCTTAAACACTTTACTGAAAGTGCATCAACAAAAGAAACAGGTAGAGCTTTATGTCCAAAGCACACTATGTTGGAAAATATCAGAAAGGCGCAGATTTTCAGGTTAACAGCATAAGATAAATAAATGTTGAAAGTAGGAAATCAGCTGAAAGAAACATTTCTGTAATAGAGTGGGAGAAATATCAGTATAGTAGCATGTCGAAATGATCAACAGAATATGATTATGCCAGAAACGAATAATCGAATTTCCTGATGAAATGACCTTATGAAGGGATATATCGTCCGCTAATCAATAACAATAAGTAGTATGAAACTGAAAGCATAAAAAGGATACAACGCTTGCAGTCTGTAGAGAAAGAATTCTCTTTGTCCTGCTTTAAATGCTTCCGATTTTGTATTAAAATTGCTGATTAAAAGGGAAATTTTGCAGTGTGAGTACCAACATCTTGGATAAACTTTAAATTGGTTAAATAGGTCTCTGGATAACACTCCCATCAGTCAACGATACCGTATAACCGCATATATGATTACAGTTTGGTTTGTTTGGACAATGATAGAATTCATTTCATAAAAATGATGCTGTTCTATACTGTTTGTTTGTATACAAACCAGCTGTATTATTTTATTCAGGAAATTTGATGTTGCTATCAGTTGACGAGAGAAGTTAGTGCTTAGGATGCCACCAAACTTGGTGATAAAACATCTACGACAAACTACCAAAATCTCAGAGAACACCAGATCACCATCATCCTTATCCCTCCCATCGTTACTGGTTTATTTGGCTGTGTGAGGGTGGTTGTCTATGTCAATGAATAGTTTGTTATGACAGTACCATAGAACTTTGAAGAAGGAGTCTATAGGATGGATTGGAAACGAGTGTTAATTTCATTATATCCATCAAACATTATGTTTGCGCTAGAATCAAAATCTAGGCCAGTTACTTATTTTCTAGTGGCTTATCACCTTTAGCTACATACGCACCTTCAACAACGAATCATTCCTGCAATTTTGTACGTCTCACAAGGGAAACTCATTGTGTTTGTTTCGTCAGAACGCAGTAAGAGCAATACGGAGATCTCAAACGAAATATTCTCTATAGCCAAGTAGACGAATTCGTGTCCAAAGGTGATTTACCTTTTCTCTGTGGACTGTTAACGCATGGATATGTGCTCACATTGAGCATTTAGGTTCTTTAAGGCAAAGTGATAAGTCTAATGTGTGACATGTAAAGACTAAGTACATATCCTGTTTTACTGTTACTCACACCCTCATAATTATGAAGTTTGTTTTCGCTTAACTACTTTTATTTTTAAGTAGTGCAAGTCGTGTCTAAAAATATAGAACTTGATTTGGATTTCTCTTCATCTTTTCAGTCCCATAATGCTTTTCTGTTATTACCATCGAGTGACCTTGAGAAATTGCAGACCTGTAGGAGAATTTCATGAGAGAAAAAAATCATGATAGATACTTTTGTTGAGTGCTTTTTGAAATCCCTTCTCCACTAAGAAAGGCTGTGCTTAGTCGTCATAAGGACATGAGTGTGTAATATTCAGGTCTAACGTATTGCTTGTACCTCTGTCTGCAACTTCAACTGCTAAACACTTGAATAATCTCAGCCTTTTCAGTTTTCCTTAACTACATCATGATATTACTGTATTGAGACTGGAGTAGGAAGAGATGAAACAATTGTGCAAACTTGTAATTTTTGTGTTTGTAATTTCCTGTTGCTGTACAGGGCCGAATTACTCGACCTCTGTTGGCAGATCGGCTCCTATGCGGATGCCTCGATTCTGTCGGATATTCGTGATGTTGTATTGATCTTGGTGACTAGCCAAGAAATCCAGGACTTGCGTTCCGTCCTATTTTGGACCCATCAACTTGATGTACCTGCACCCCAGTGAGTGGTGTTGTTTCAACCGAGGCTCGAAACCAGTACCCTTCGTAATAGAAGTCCATTTGCCAACAGATGTCGAGCAATAGGCCCTGTGTAGCAACATGAAATTACAAGTATCATTACAGCAACTGATATCCGTTGCATAAGAGGTGGCTATCGTGCCTCAGTGGCTTGGTAGATAATGTCCTGCGTTTGAAGCGGAGAGTACTGAGTTCCGCAGAAACATCATTCACTGAGGTGCAGTCACATGTAGCTGAAGAGTCCCGGATGGGACGAAACGTGCATCTTGGACTCCTCGACTGGTCACCAAGGTCAGTATATTTACTATGTAACTGGCCATCCCAGTTCACTATTCCTCTTATTGGAGTGACTGAATATTGCTTACAGTTGTCAACTGTTATTTTCGGGAAACGGCTTCCCCTAGAAAGGTTTGAACTCCCAACCTCTGGTTTGAGAGACCAGTACTTCATTCATTAGGCTATGGAGGCTCAAGAGATGTAAGTTATATGTATTTGCGTTCACCAATAATATTTCCCAGGTATTAATTTCATCCACTCTTGATTCAGCTTTGGTAGATTACCTGTTCGAGATATCGTATACTATCAAATAACTTAAGTAGATGAGAAACAAAATTGACACAGGTTAAAAGCAGAATAACTCATTATAGAGTGGTTTTTTGAATCAATTTACCAACTCACTCTTAAACATTGAAATCGGTTTAAAACAGTTGGCGTTTTACATTGTCTAGTAGACTGTGAAACAATCCCCTGGGATTGATAACTAGATGGGAAATCATGAGCTTTTGGTAAGTCAGTCATCTTGATGCTATGAGTTTATGGTTAGAAGTGATTGTCACTATATTTCAGGACATTTTCCGTTGTAATCTTCACGCCTACTCTACATCTGTCAGAAAATTAGTGGTGACTTTAGTTTTATCGTGAATGATTACTTCGATATTTGTGTACTGTATATCTGTAGTGTTATGTATATACTCAGTCAAGTAAACTGGAATAGACAATATAACATTCAAACCCTTTGTCATTTGATAGGTTATTCCTTTCTCAGTTCGTTGTATCACTGTTCCATAATTCCACTATGCTAATAATATCGTTTCTAAGATACTATTTCCATTATGCTAATATAAGATTGATTAGACATACACATAATACACAAAGTTGTAAGTTGTGGGGTTTTAAACCTCATTGATAACTGGTTACGGGGGGTGGTTCCTGAAGTTCCATTGACAGTCGTGACCGGTGGGGTCACCCAAGTCGGATATCAGGACAGTTACTCAACAACGGCATTAGATGGAGATCGCGCTAAATCGTGAACTGATAGAAGTAGGAAATATGTACCATTATAAAATACGACCAAGTAGGTCATTAGTAACACGCTGGCTGCGTAACATAAAGGTCCTGGCAGGGTCATGGGTATGCATTGCTGTGGGGTTGCATACTGTGACGAAACACCTGTCAAGTGCTCCCAGATTTTCAATGTTTCTCCAAATGATTCCAGTCCATGATGAATATCAACCTTTCAAAACTTATTTTCTTAATGTTCAAAATTGTTTTCCTATCACATGCTTGAAGTGTTTTTTTGATAAGCGGTACCGGATATGATAGTAGGATCGAAAATTTGCCCCATGACAAAACTCAAGACGTCTACCAATCTTGGAATAACCTACTCGGAAGCGAGTGTTATTTGCCAACTTTAGACTCAATAAAGATTTGCGGCTAAAAATGGGAACTACCACTGACTAGATAATTATATTCATCAAAACTTGGCAACTGGGTTTTAAAATATCCCGACAAACTGTTATGACATAGAAATTGAACTTAAAAAACTAAGATTTAAACTTTAAGTTTTTTCTCATTGGGAATTAAGGCATAAAACAGCAAAACACTAGGTAGTATCTCCTGTTTTCAGTGTCCCCTCTGGCTGTTTTCTTCCCTGAAAGTAGTTAGTGTTTGGCACTTGTTGTCGCTGATTTCGTTGATTTTAGGCGATTACAATCATGTCAAAAATCTTAAAAACTTGATAATTCGCATGAAACTATCATATAAAACTTAATTTTTTTCTCATATTCTGGAAATGGATACCTACCAGCTGCAAGTTAATTATCTGTTGGTCCAAAGTACTATGGACAGCTCAAGGTCACTCAACGGATCCCCTGTGCCCCGCACGACTTTTAATTCGGCCGTTCTTATGATCTCTTGTGATAAATTTAATACCTTGATTATTATTATTATTATTATCCAGCGTGCTTTATCAAGATATGGTGTTAAACCGCTACCGCGTAAGCGTGCTGTACTGCTTCTGAAAGAAATATATGACCAACTTCATCAATGTGAGTTCTATTTACTTCTTGTTTTTATTGGGAACAACTACAGTATATTTCAATGAAAACTCAATTTTTATTATTTACTTCCAGTATATGGATGTGATGTACAGCTTGAGGGCTAATCGGTTTGATACATTTAAATCCACCAACTGATTAGATAAACTCCTGACTGACTTGTCTAGCATATAATATTGCTATGCTGAAAATGATAGGTCACACACACACGTATAGTTAACTGGTTAGTGAAAGATTCGACCATTCATATGTTATTCATCCTACTACTAATCGCCACCGTTCTGTTTGTTTCAAATTGTAGTGCACTATTTTAGGCACACTAATAACTTTACTTCTACCTAGTTAGTTGAAATTCAAATGACTGAGACTGGCGAAGTTGTTTACAGAACATAAGGGAAAGACTTTGTGTTCTATTGTACGAGGTTTGAGAGGGGCTAAATTGTGCAACTCCATCGTGTGTACGAATTGTGTATACGTGATGTGGTAAGTATGCGCGTGATTATTCATGTTCAAGGTTAGTGCCAGAAGTGTATCGGCAAAAATCACGGCAGGGCCAAAACATATACCTGATCCAGAATTAATTATTTATGTAAATCTACTAAATGAATGAATAATTGCCTAATTATTCACCTACCTTGCCTACTTTACGTCCAAGCTTCTCTCAACTTATCGATTCTTAATCATCAAACCAGTCCCACACTAGCAATGTCTACATGAATTGCACAACATATAAGTTGTCTAAAACCGTTTTTAATTCAGAATGGTGGAAAAGATTTATAGCTCAGAATAAGGATAGTGATGGTTGGCGTTCTCTGAGCTTTGATATTCTGTTGTGAACGTCTCATCACCAGCCTTAGTGACATCTACAACATATTCGAATGTTTTGTGAATGTTTAGGTAGTGTTTTTATTGACCTTGGATTTTGTCCAATCGTAAGTCAGACAGGAAATATTTTCATCACATCCTGACCTGTTTGACCCTGAATTTCCTTCAATCACTTCATTAGATATTCTTTGTTATGGTCAACCCATACTGTTTGTTGGTTTCACACGATGTTGTCTGGTCAATCTACCCTTGGTTGATGGATGACTGTTTTCTTCCTGAGAAGATTGTAGCTTGCGTCTATAACAACATATCTGTTGGTTGACATTTCGTTCGAATGCTATGCTTCTAGAAGTTCCCTAGCAGCTTTAGAATAATCAAAAGTCTAGTAATGAAACTTTCATGACAAAATATCAAAGCTGGCAGAACGTCAAACACCATTGTTTTTACCTTGATACATCAATAATATCATTGGTTCTTCCAGTTTATATAGTCTAAATAATTTGATCATTTATCCTACTTAAATCTACGCAGTTACTCTATTGATATACTTCAGTTTACCTTATCCAAATTTTATGCAGTCTTTTTATTACTCCGGTTTGTTTCGTTATTCTGAAAGTAAAACATTTGATAACATGAAATTTTTATTGGTGTTGTCTATTGCTAGGGTGACAAAATACTCTAATCACCTCACTATTGTTCTTTTTACAGTTATTCGAAATAGTCTGTTTCATATATATTTTCTTTTGTTATAGACGAAGAATTTGGTGACAAATGTGATGAGTCAATACCTAATAACAAGACAGAAGTGTTCAAAGATAACAGCTTTGAACCTCAAATAAATCCTACGAATAAAGAGAATAAACGTGTCAAATCAAATAAATCTAAAGTAGAAATAAAACCCAGTGTTACAACTTCTACACAGGGTAATAATTCTCAACGGGTATTATCATCATCAACGACAACAACATCGCGATTAGTTAGAACAATCACAACGGTGACTACTTCAATAGTCTCTCCCCTTCACTTTACCTTGATGAGGTCCAGTACCCACATAATCATGAAGCTGCTATCTTTGAACTTCCTGTCTTGGACAGTCCAGATGTTGAAGAATGCAGCAAAAAAATAAGTGAAAAAGACAAGGTAAAGTCTTTCTATCTCTTATGCTAAATTTCGTTACAAATAGATATATAACTAAATTGTATTAAGATTGGATTCATAGAACGTTTAGCCTTGATCAAGTCATAAATACTGGTTAACCTTTTCCACCGAATAAAGAAATCTCAACTATCGGTATTCCTGCGCTGAACACCTAAGAATTTCTATTCAAAGTTTATTTCAGACTTGGTGCTGTCTTGTGCCTATGAATAACTGAAAAAGTTTACGTATCCTCTTTTTATGTTGAATAGAATAGGTGACTCTCCAAATTATGCAAAAAGGTGTTCAAATAAGTAAACGAAAAACCTTTTTATAGTGATATTGAATATGTGGGGGATACCGGGAAATTGTTCTCCTTAAAGTCTTCTGTTCAATCCACTTTGGTTTATGGAGTAGAATGGAATGTCGTCACCTAAATAGTTTTGATACTGTTCTTAAGCCTATTTTATGTCGCCCACATACACACACACACACCATGTCATGAAAGAAGCATTTCACGAGACGAAGTTGCTTCAGATAAGAGGCTGTTAGTAACATCATTTAACATAACATCATTTCTCGCTCTAGAAATTCTCCAGTACTTATTTGTCCGTGTCCTTTGATTTCATAATTTTATCCTACTTCTGAACCCAACTGAAACCTCTCATCTATTCATATTGGAGAGTAGACATCACTTTGCTTATTCAAACCGTATCCCTTGTTTCACGTCAATCAGATTACAGCTGGTCACGTGTTAGGTGAAAAAGGGTTGTGGAGATTTATTCCTCTGGAGACTTTTCGTGGAGCTGTAGCCCATTGACTTAGGCACTTGACTTTCAGCCGATAGGTTATGGTTTCTAAACCTTAATCCCTATTCTTTCTATCGAGGTCTGGGCGACCAGACTGCATCATCTACTCAAAACGTACATATGATTGCTGGCTACACTTCGATTTTCATCTTTTTTGATAATAGTCTTAAGCATAGGTATTCTTTGGTTTATATTTTACTCTTCCTATAAGTATATACGTTTAAAATGAATTTTTTTCAACTTTCAATCTCTTTTCATTTTTCAGAATAGTATACAACAATCTGTTTTGAATTACCTGAAAAATGATACTAATTTGTATATGAATATTTTAACTTACACGGTAATTAGCATAATAAAGTAAACATGTTCTTTGTAGCCATTGGAATTCGATATTGTACACAATATGCTTAAATCTGCTGGTATAATAATTGGTCAACAAAAGTTAATGGATGTTTTGGATGATCAGGTATGGATGTACAGCTCAACTAGGCAGAAATAACTTTAGTTACATTTCTTAAAGTTTTATATGTATATATGTAGTTTCCGAAATATTTTTATCTTTCATTATTATTTGTCCTAGTGGAACATACGGCTTCGGTAGCACACCTCCATTTCACTCTCTTCTTTTCAGTCTTTTCAACCCCACTCCACGACTGCCCAGAAGTTTTCACTTCTCCCTCACATGATCTCCATGTCACCCACCCTCGCCTCGGACGCCCAACTCGTCGTTTCCTCTTTGGATTCCACTCGAGGGCCTGGCGCGTGATGTCCCCGAATGGTCTTCTCAGTGCATGCCCAATTCATCTCCACTTCCTTCTGCATATTTGTTGAGCGATAGGTCCCTGGTTGGTACGTTCCCAGAGTTGCTTGTTGCTTATTCTTTCCGGCCATCTCAGCCTCAGTAACGAAAGTAGGCAGGTTTCTTTCTACATAGCTTCCAAAGAGTCCCAGTGCTCATCCACACAGGTTTCTTCAGGGACGTTGCTCGATATCTCGCATTTTGTCCTGATGATCGACGTGAAGATGTCCCTTGTAGTTTTCTCCTTCAGTTTTCATTCTGGGTGTTTTACTTGAACTGTGGTCTATCACCAGCTTCCTTGAAGGCTTTCAACTTGATTTCGAAGCCTGGTTCCTTGCACTAGATAGTGGTCTGAACCTACATCTGCTCGTCTTCATGACCTTGTGTCAAGTGGGTTGCGTCTCCACTTTCTTCACACTGAGATGAAGTCGATCTGATTTTTAGTGTAGAGTATCCTGGTGTCTGGTGAAATCAAATGCGTATCGCTTTGTGGATATCTTTGTGCTTGAACACAATGCCTCTAATCAAGTTGTTGAATGCGCAGAATTCTGTAAACAGTTCTCCATTCTCGTCCATTTCACCGAGTGCTTCTCGACCCATGGTTGGTTCTCTTCCTGTGTTGTCCGCTCCGAGTTCAGCATTCATGTCGCCATTAGGATTTTGATGTCTTCAACTGAGGTCTTGTGTCCGGTGTTGATTACAGTTGTCCAAAATAATGCCCAGTGATTTCTATCTGATTTTCATATCAGTTTAATAAGTTGTGAAAATCAGTGAATCGTCATCATCATCATCATCATGTCTGTCACTAACACTCTAGAACTACTCATCCTGGTATGCCGCCATAAAATGTACCAAGTAATCTTATTTATGGGTTTTTGGGCAGTAGTGATCATTTAAGTAATTAACCTTTTTCGCTTGCTAATTTAATGCATTTAATCACAACCACAGGTCATCTTTGCATAAAAGATGTTCCATTTCCTTGTCTATGAAAATTTTGTGCCAAATCGTTTAAAACTTTTGAAAATATATATTTTATAAAAATAAAGAAACTACAATGGAAATATGAACCTGGTTGTACACTCGATTAACTGTGAGCCATAAACGATGTGTCAGTTCTAATGATACAATTTCCTTGCCATTACCTAAGTAAGTAGTTCTATCCTCAGCTTAACGTTCGTAGTTTGATATCATTCATCATACTGATGGGTATTTCTAGGTTTTTCTTCAAAAACAGATCTAATCGCAAATCTGCACAACCTTGATGATCAGCGATTATCTTACTCACCCGCGCCTTGTTTATCGTCTTTTCACATAATCGCACTATTTTGTATCATATACTGCCGTCGCTTTCCCTCTTAAAAAGACGCCTAATAGTCCCAGGTTCTCAGTGGTTCTGCAGTTGATGTCACTCTGTGATGAAGGCCACCATGGAGTCAATATAAGCATATTGTCTGCTAATTTTTTTTCCCTAGTAAACGTTCACAAATCTGCAACTGATTTTTCTAGCTTAAAATTTAATCATAGTACTTGATAAAAAATCCTCAGCTAAATCCTTATTTCTTCTATTTGTTAAAACAATTATCCAGTGTATAACATACACCCTACGGAATCGTGTCAGAAATAATGGCAACGGGTCAAGACTGAGAAGAACGATGAATCCAAAGAGAAAAAGGACAAACTAACGACTGCTGTACTGCATCAAAGAATGTTAATTTTATTCGAAACCCTGTACATATTCACTCGTACCAAAATTATATTCTTATTTGAAAATCTGAACCATTCCCAACTAAACACGAAAAATCAGATGGATTACCAGAATATTACGCTTAACGCTTTCCTCCAAATGAGCAACAGCACATCTCGAAAAGTCATTCCTATTTCATCCATAAGCACAACAGTTTCATGGATCTCCAAATACCTGAAAAATATCCATACACAATTAAATAAAACAAAACAACTCCGAAAAAAAAACTGCCATAAATATACCATCACACAAGCAGAAAAAGTTGAATATCGCCACAACTACGACCAGAAAACAACGAACAGACAAAAAAATTGCCCCAAGATCTCTCCCCCAAAAAACCCTGAAACAAACCCACCACAAAAATATCTCTCACCTCATCAAACCGTACAACAAAAACCCTAACCGAATGAATCGTCAAATAAAGTGCGCAGGCGCAATATGTGTGCATTGAGGCGGGGAACCACCCGTCCTTAAAAGTGAAAGATCCCTCATAAACAAGTACATTTGAAAGGTGATCGAGTGATGACGATGGTTTTTGTTGGTTGACGAGCAAGCAGTATGCAGAGTGAGTGTGTGGTTGAGGGTGAGAGTGTTGTGCACGGGCACCTGTGGGCCTCCATAGCTCAGTGGTCAGAGCACTGGTCTTGTAAACCAGGGGTCGGGAGTTCGATCCTCCCTGGGGGCAGGGGATTTTAGAAAACCCCATCACACTGACATCGCCATCACCATTGTAGCGACGCCACACACTCAATTCATCCTGTTCACTCACACGTGGACATGCACACATGGGCACGCAATGACCAGCCTACACAGGCACAAATGCGAGCCCCACCACCGGGATGCTGCGACGGCAAGCAAGCGCGTGACATCGTTTGGAGAGACGAGGCGAGCGTGTCACTGCACGAGTGCTTCACTGCAGCATTGGGAGTCATGAGTGACGAACGTGTGCGTGTATTCCTCGCGTGTAGGTGGTCATTTGGCAGCGCGTCGTACACCGATACGGTTTTGTGCGCCACGGGTGAGTGGACTGTCGGCCAGTGCGAAGGCGACAGTGGTGACATTGAGGCGGTGTAGTGGGTACCCACTGGTCGGCTCGACGAAAATCTCGCTCCTCGACCGGGAATCGAACCCGGGCCTTCCACGTGACAGGCGGAGATACTCACCACTATACTATCGAGGAGGACACATCCAATCACATAGTCATCACACTCAACACTGAACTCAATCACTCCTGCAACACAACAAAACAAAACTCGTCGAAATTCGTGCATGCATCTCGAGACACTGACACTACGACAGGTGGACACGCCGATGGACACATCGAACCCACTATCCACACCGACACAATGATATATCACGACGTAGAAAAGACATGAAACACTAGTCAAGTTACTCAATCAACTCATGCTCCACGCATGTAGGCTGCGTCTGATGCAGAATGATTGTGTCACTCGTATCTCGTCTCCCTCACCTACCGACATACAGCGTTGCATGCATTCACATTCACCTGAATTCCACCTGTCGCAGCTCAACCACGTACGATCAGCTGACTTGAAATCAATTCGACAAATAGTCAAGGTTGATATTTCACTGTGAAATACACGAACCGATATATGCATGCATGCATGCATGCATGCATGCATGCTTGCACACCACTCGAACGGCTTCGTATTTCGCACCACCGAACCGTCGGATTGGACAGATTACTGGTGGCCATGCTTTGCCGAATATCACAGTGGATGGCTTGATGGGGAGTAAGGTAGATCAGGACATGCGATTAGATGTGTGTGGATTTAGGTGAGCGCTTGCTTGCTTGCGCGCGCCCGCGTGTGTGTGTGGGAGAGAGAGAGAGAGAGTTGTTAGATGAGTGGATTGGATAGGTGATCGAGTGATGACGATGGTTTTTGTTGGTTGACGAGCAAGCAGTATGCAGAGTGAGTGTGTGGTTGAGGGTGAGAGTGTTGTGCACGGGCACCTGTGGGCCTCCATAGCTCAGTGGTCAGAGCACTGGTCTTGTAAACCAGGGGTCGGGAGTTCGATCCTCCCTGGGGGCAGGGGATTTTAGAAAACCCCATCACACTGACATCGCCATCACCATTGTAGCGACGCCACACACTCAATTCATCCTGTTCACTCACACGTGGACATGCACACATGGGCACGCAATGACCAGCCTACACAGGCACAAATGCGAGCCCCACCACCGGGATGCTGCGACGGCAAGCAAGCGCGTGACATCGTTTGGAGAGACGAGGCGAGCGTGTCACTGCACGAGTGCTTCACTGCAGCATTGGGAGTCATGAGTGACGAACGTGTGCGTGTATTCCTCGCGTGTAGGTGGTCATTTGGCAGCGCGTCGTACACCGATACGGTTTTGTGCGCCACGGGTGAGTGGACTGTCGGCCAGTGCGAAGGCGACAGTGGTGACATTGAGGCGGTGTAGTGGGTACCCACTGGTCGGCTCGACGAAAATCTCGCTCCTCGACCGGGAATCGAACCCGGGCCTTCCACGTGACAGGCGGAGATACTCACCACTATACTATCGAGGAGGACACATCCAATCACATAGTCATCACACTCAACACTGAACTCAATCACTCCTGCAACACAACAAAACAAAACTCGTCGAAATTCGTGCATGCATCTCGAGACACTGACACTACGACAGGTGGACACGCCGATGGACACATCGAACCCACTATCCACACCGACACAATGATATATCACGACGTAGAAAAGACATGAAACACTAGTCAAGTTACTCAATCAACTCATGCTCCACGCATGTAGGCTGCGTCTGATGCAGAATGATTGTGTCACTCGTATCTCGTCTCCCTCACCTACCGACATACAGCGTTGCATGCATTCACATTCACCTGAATTCCACCTGTCGCAGCTCAACCACGTACGATCAGCTGACTTGAAATCAATTCGACAAATAGTCAAGGTTGATATTTCACTGTGAAATACACGAACCGATATATGCATGCATGCATGCATGCATGCATGCATGCTTGCACACCACTCGAACGGCTTCGTATTTCGCACCACCGAACCGTCGGATTGGACAGATTACTGGTGGCCATGCTTTGCCGAATATCACAGTGGATGGCTTGATGGGGAGTAAGGTAGATCAGGACATGCGATTAGATGTGTGTGGATTTAGGTGAGCGCTTGCTTGCTTGCGCGCGCCCGCGTGTGTGTGTGGGAGAGAGAGAGAGAGTTGTTAGATGAGTGGATTGGATAGGTGATCGAGTGATGACGATGGTTTTTGTTGGTTGACGAGCAAGCAGTATGCAGAGTGAGTGTGTGGTTGAGGGTGAGAGTGTTGTGCACGGGCACCTGTGGGCCTCCATAGCTCAGTGGTCAGAGCACTGGTCTTGTAAACCAGGGGTCGGGAGTTCGATCCTCCCTGGGGGCAGGGGATTTTAGAAAACCCCATCACACTGACATCGCCATCACCATTGTAGCGACGCCACACACTCAATTCATCCTGTTCACTCACACGTGGACATGCACACATGGGCACGCAATGACCAGCCTACACAGGCACAAATGCGAGCCCCACCACCGGGATGCTGCGACGGCAAGCAAGCGCGTGACATCGTTTGGAGAGACGAGGCGAGCGTGTCACTGCACGAGTGCTTCACTGCAGCATTGGGAGTCATGAGTGACGAACGTGTGCGTGTATTCCTCGCGTGTAGGTGGTCATTTGGCAGCGCGTCGTACACCGATACGGTTTTGTGCGCCACGGGTGAGTGGACTGTCGGCCAGTGCGAAGGCGACAGTGGTGACATTGAGGCGGTGTAGTGGGTACCCACTGGTCGGCTCGACGAAAATCTCGCTCCTCGACCGGGAATCGAACCCGGGCCTTCCACGTGACAGGCGGAGATACTCACCACTATACTATCGAGGAGGACACATCCAATCACATAGTCATCACACTCAACACTGAACTCAATCACTCCTGCAACACAACAAAACAAAACTCGTCGAAATTCGTGCATGCATCTCGAGACACTGACACTACGACAGGTGGACACGCCGATGGACACATCGAACCCACTATCCACACCGACACAATGATATATCACGACGTAGAAAAGACATGAAACACTAGTCAAGTTACTCAATCAACTCATGCTCCACGCATGTAGGCTGCGTCTGATGCAGAATGATTGTGTCACTCGTATCTCGTCTCCCTCACCTACCGACATACAGCGTTGCATGCATTCACATTCACCTGAATTCCACCTGTCGCAGCTCAACCACGTACGATCAGCTGACTTGAAATCAATTCGACAAATAGTCAAGGTTGATATTTCACTGTGAAATACACGAACCGATATATGCATGCATGCATGCATGCATGCATGCATGCTTGCACACCACTCGAACGGCTTCGTATTTCGCACCACCGAACCGTCGGATTGGACAGATTACTGGTGGCCATGCTTTGCCGAATATCACAGTGGATGGCTTGATGGGGAGTAAGGTAGATCAGGACATGCGATTAGATGTGTGTGGATTTAGGTGAGCGCTTGCTTGCTTGCGCGCGCCCGCGTGTGTGTGTGGGAGAGAGAGAGAGAGTTGTTAGATGAGTGGATTGGATAGGTGATCGAGTGATGACGATGGTTTTTGTTGGTTGACGAGCAAGCAGTATGCAGAGTGAGTGTGTGGTTGAGGGTGAGAGTGTTGTGCACGGGCACCTGTGGGCCTCCATAGCTCAGTGGTCAGAGCACTGGTCTTGTAAACCAGGGGTCGGGAGTTCGATCCTCCCTGGGGGCAGGGGATTTTAGAAAACCCCATCACACTGACATCGCCATCACCATTGTAGCGACGCCACACACTCAATTCATCCTGTTCACTCACACGTGGACATGCACACATGGGCACGCAATGACCAGCCTACACAGGCACAAATGCGAGCCCCACCACCGGGATGCTGCGACGGCAAGCAAGCGCGTGACATCGTTTGGAGAGACGAGGCGAGCGTGTCACTGCACGAGTGCTTCACTGCAGCATTGGGAGTCATGAGTGACGAACGTGTGCGTGTATTCCTCGCGTGTAGGTGGTCATTTGGCAGCGCGTCGTACACCGATACGGTTTTGTGCGCCACGGGTGAGTGGACTGTCGGCCAGTGCGAAGGCGACAGTGGTGACATTGAGGCGGTGTAGTGGGTACCCACTGGTCGGCTCGACGAAAATCTCGCTCCTCGACCGGGAATCGAACCCGGGCCTTCCACGTGACAGGCGGAGATACTCACCACTATACTATCGAGGAGGACACATCCAATCACATAGTCATCACACTCAACACTGAACTCAATCACTCCTGCAACACAACAAAACAAAACTCGTCGAAATTCGTGCATGCATCTCGAGACACTGACACTACGACAGGTGGACACGCCGATGGACACATCGAACCCACTATCCACACCGACACAATGATATATCACGACGTAGAAAAGACATGAAACACTAGTCAAGTTACTCAACCAACTCATGCTCCACGCATGTAGGCTGCGTCTGATGCAGAATGATTGTGTCACTCGTATCTCGTCTCCCTCACCTACCGACATACAGCGTTGCATGCATTCACATTCACCTG